GGAGAGAACTGCTTTATCAGAGCATCTGTGTTGAAATGCAAGTGTTCAGCGACGATAATGTAAACGATAGATCAAAATTGTTTGCAAGGTGATGCGTCTATCATGTCTGCATCAGGTCAAATTTTATTGAAAGTTGAGAATTTATTTTCATGGTCGCTTGATCATCTACATTCTATAACATCCAAATATATGATAGGTGTTTAAGATATCCCAGCAGTTTGCATGTCAAAACATTAGAGCCTGGCCTCGAGTCACAGCAGAGAATAATAAATAGAAACAGGAAAATATGAGTATCACTGTGATAGAAATAACGGATATACTGATGACCTTCCACCGAAGCGTAAACACAATTTCCCAGCTCAAGAAAGGTGAAGAGGACAACCAGCAATTAAATCGCTGGAGAAAAAGTGACTCCATCTAATAGAGTAACTGATTTTTTTAAATATATATTTTTTATATTCGTAATATGTTCACCGCTGTCGACTAGAATGACGATCATTCAAAAACCAACCTAATGAAAATATCTCACGGATAAAACAGTTTAAAAAGTATATCATTAACCTTTCAAGTAGTAAGCAACTACTTACAGTTTCATAAAAGATTTCTAGTTAGTACTTTTTATTTAAAATCTCAAAAGTGCTCATAATGGAATTCAACATGATCTGACATCAGTCGGAAACATTAAACATACGCCACATTAAAATATGTTTTTAGTGTTCACTTCAAACGAGAGCTAACTCATTCCCATAGCTAAGCTAACTTCAAATGAGAGCTAACTCGTCCCAGTGTTCACTTCCCATAAACTTGAATCAATTGAAATTACACTAAATATTATGAGCCAATATGTAGCATTGGTGGTAGGGGCGACTGATCAGGACCTCTGAATGGTATTCGATCACAATAATTTTGGGGACTATCACGTTACACTTATTCTTATTAATAGTATTATGCCTCACCTCTATAGCTCATGACGAGATTCTCACACTTGTCGCCAGTCGTGCCCAGTGGACACGCGCAGCTGCAGTCCTTCTGCGTGTAGCCGCCGTTCTTGCAGGGCTCAGACTCTTGCTTGCAGGCCTTCAACCAGTCGTCTTTAAGAAGAGATGAATAAATAAATGTGAATGAAAAAATGAATGTGAAATACAAGAAAGTGAATTAATACATGAAAACGTGACCTTATCAGCCATACGTATGGTGTCACCTGTGCAGTTGCACATGGTGTTCAAAAGCCTCACCTGTGCATTTGTACATGGTGTTCATGAGCTTGGCGTTCCAGTGCGCAATTTTATCGCCATCTCCCATGAGAGTTTGAAAACGAACATCTTTAGCGACCATCACGCGTTTGCCGTCTATGCCAAAACTCTGTAGGAGTTAAAAGCAAAGTGAAAATTACTTAAGACAGCATGTAAGAAAATGCTTAGTTACACTACATGTATATATTTATTGCCAAAAATAAATAAATAACTTAACCTGGCTGGACCTAGCCCCTCTAGAAAGGCCTCTAGCACCGTAAAAAAGGGTTTTATTCACCCCTAACTCTAACCATAACCTAACGAGGTTGGCTTTTTTATGTCCGGTAGTGTAGTTCATTTATTTTCGCGCCCAATTTTTAAGTACGAACTAATTGCAGAGTACACAATCCGACGCGATTTTGTCCGGGTTTCTATCCCATATCCGGTAATGTTACCGATTGTTTCCGGTTATTGTTATATATATAATTGAGGTATAAGAGGTATTTGTCACTCGCATCTGATCCTACAATCAGTTAGTGTGTGCCTCGCCCCCCGCCGATTCTTTTGGGTCCAAAATTGTGCATGTATGACTCACCCGGTCGTGGTACTGCATGAGAGAGTAGTAGTCGTAAGGGACTTCGAAGTTGATGGTCGGACCTTTATCATAATTGTGTTTCATGGCAGGCTTAATGTTAGCCATGTACACAATGATGTTGTCGTCCCTGAAAATAAAATCTTAATAAATTATGTGTACTTGAGCAACACAACCTATACCATGTAATCAATATGGACTATTATTATTAAAAAACATCGATAGTGTTTGCCATCGCACACACTTTTTAGAGTTCATACGGAAAATAATTTTATGATAAATGAAGCTTGCAATAATTTTGAATAGAATTAAAATACATTAATTTCTGGGATTTGTCTTCCAATAACATTCGAAATTAAACTCGTGACTATGTCTGATATTCAAGATTCAGCACATGTTTCATTCAATTTTTTTAAATGCAATTGAATTGAAGTTGATCATTAAAATTGTGAAGTAATAAAAAGAAAATGCGCGTCTGCCTCACTCAGAATTCACATCGAAACAAGTGAATAATAAAATAACGAAAAAATTATAGTGCCAAAATGTATTGCCAAAGATAGAGTTCATTCTGAAAGACATCCACTTAAATCTGAAGTACAAGTAATTGTTCAATCAGTGTAGTAGTGAAGTGAGTTTGTGGTAACATAGTTTCGTGTGCGAGATTTTTCGTTGCGTCTATTATAGGTTTTTACTTAAATTGAGCAATGAGAAGCCCGATATGGAATNGTTTGTTTTTGCCATAGTTATATGACAATACGGGCCGAAATTCGCAGTGATCAAGTAATTTCTTCCAAACTACTGAACAGATTCGAACGAAATTTTTGAATGTACAGTCCTAACTACCGAACGGTAATGTTTAGCTCGTGAAAATTTTTTCGATTGCGCCTTCGTTCGCGATTTTTTTTTATTTCATTTCACCTACATTCGTGATTTAAACAGCAATACGGGCCTAAATTCGCAGTAATCAAGAAATTTTTTCCAAACTACTGAACAGATTTGAACAAAAAGTAGTATTTAAATACCTAACCTCAGCAATGGTGATGTTTACAATTATTTCGTTTTGACTTCGTTTGCGAGTTATACGGCTATACGTAAAAGGCTTTTGGTTAAACCGGCCGCTAGAAAAGCCGGTCGTTCTTCCTATATCTGTATAACTCGCAAACGAAAGCAAAATAGAAAAATTTTCACGAGCTAAACATCACCGTTGAGAGGTTAGGTATTTATAAACAAAGTTTTGTTGAAATATGTTCTGTGGTTTAGAAGAAATTTCTTGATCACCGCGAATTTAAGTGACAAATTACTCGGCGATATGGGCCGAATATAAGGAAGAGTGAAATCAAGAATGACGGTGAAATGGAAAAAAACTCGCAAACGAAGGTAAAATTTAAAAAAATTTATAAGCTAAAAAATCGCCGTTTGGTAGTTGGAATGTATATATTCAAAATTTCGTTCAAATCTGGTTCAATAGTTTGGAAGAAATTCTTTGATCACTGCGAATTTCGGCCTGTTTCGCAATATACGCGTAACTCACGAATGAAGGTGAAATTTAAAAAAAAATACCAGCTAAACATCACCGTTAGGTTCTGATGAATACGTGTTCAAAGTTTCATTGAGCTGCGTTCATTAATTTGGGAGATATTACTTGATACTTGAATTTGGAGATTGGTCGTGAGACCGGCCACGAGTCTGGCCGTAAATTCGCCCGCGACATCCTAGGTTTCTAGTGCTGAAACAGTTAAAACAGCTGAAAAAACATATTGGTTCACTTAATGGGTTATATTTGTGAAATACACATTTGTGTTTAACCTTTATCTTTTAAAATTGCAGCGTAATAAATTTCAAGAAAGAGGCGTATGTCTGTGGGGGGCGCTAGAAATTCACCAATGAGCCGAAGGAGGCGCCAGCCTGAAAAAGTTTGGGAACCACTGACCTAACCTCATCGGGCTAGAATTGCTCGCAAAATAGAAGTTTACGAGTGCCACACAATGAAGTTGCATATTTCTTATTTATCTCGATTGCCGCAGAAACCTTTTTGCGTGAAATATTTTCAAACATTCAGTGAATTTCTTAAACATGATTACGAATTCTCTGGAACATCTTGACTAATCCATATCTCACAATTAACATCGTAAAGGACGCACCCGTTCTTCTCAACTCCTACCTGCAGGTGGGTATGGCCTCGGTGGTGAAAGTAGCCTTGTAGCCTCTGTATTTGTTTTTCTTGCCATATTTAGAGTAGTCATTGTTCATGTAATGAAGGATGAGCTCCGACTTGTCACTTTTGAACGCTGTTCCTTTCTCAATTTCTTCGCCACAAAATCTAAAAAAAATCACGTAAAGTTTAATACAGCGTTCATAATGCAGACCAAAATATTAATTTCTAATCCTTCATGTTAATTTATTGAAATTTTTTTCATTAGTTAACACAGGGAATTTTTCATACTTTTTCATAATCGTGATCAAATGATGAAAATTCTAGCTATGTTGATATTACACGCAGCAGGCAATAAGTAAATGAATGAGTTAATGAATTTGCTTCATTCATACGTTAATCAAAAACCATGACAAAACAAGCCATACATTTTCCCCTCCGGCACTGAAACGTCGGAGCGGATCTCGAGGAAGCTAAAGTCGCAGCGATTACTACTGTCACTGCGTGGCTTGATTTCGAAGTCGTCGAACTTCACCACCGCTCGCTGGCACTCCGGGGCACGGAAAACCTGCGTGTACTGAGTTTCTGGGGAAATTAAATTACACGGGAGTTATAATACTTGGCTCAGAAGCACATAAGTTATTATTTGTAGGTCATACAGTCGCTCGATAGAACACAGACAGTATAGGAGTAATAATTTTTAGGCCGTATTGCTCGATAGAACACAAGATAGTTTAGGAGTAATCATTTTTAGGCCGTACAGTTGCTCGACAGAACACAGACAGAATAGAAATAATTATTTTTAAGCCATATAGTTGCTCGACAGAACACAACACGAGGTCACGTAATAGTAACTCAAAAACAAAATGACAAAAACGTAACCTAACTATCGATAAAATTATTGTATCTACAGGCGGTCCCTAACACCGTGACTTCACGTTTTCGTCGATTTTGAGAAAATGCGCTCTCTGTCAGTCACTGCAGTGAGTACTGAGTTATATTTTTTTCTCCATTTATCACCTGACTTCGGAAAATGTACTTCTACTCATTTTACTCTGTAAATTGTTGCTATTAATTGAAAACTTTATGGCTTAAACAAAGTGCTTCAATTAAGCAAAGATATTATATTTTATTGGGAGGGAAATATTGAGAAATCAATTGTCTTGGCATGTTTTAATTATCATTTTACTCTTTTTACTATGAGTATTTATCGCGACAAACTTGGGAAATTCCCTGAAACACCAACAGTTTTTTATTGTAATTAATACGAAAATGAAACAAAAAAAAGCGCCCTATGAGTATTTTCTTGCACTCATAAAAAACTTTCAATATTTATTACAGCCAATTCGTGCCAAGGTCCCCAGTTGCCAAGGTCAACCGATTTCAGCCAAAGTCTGCGTTGCTATGCATGAAATTTCAGCCATTTTAATTTCCCAGTGACCGCCACTAGCCAAGTCCGTATATATGAAACCCCAACAGTTGAAAAAAATGAAGGTTTTATGATTCAGTCAGAACCTTCTAGCAGACTTAAACATCTTATTCCTATAGGCCTGCAAACGGGATAATGCTTGCAATTCACAAATTAAGAATAAGACATGAAAGTTATGCCGCATATTGCTGTCTCTGATCAATGCCAGTGCGCGGTAAAAACACCATTACCTTGTAGATTTACACTTGGTTGTTACATAAAAAATTTAATCCATTTATACCACTCAAGATACTTGCGGAGATTTATTTCACCCGAATGCTGCTGAAAAAAAAAGTCTGGATAAATTTTAGGCATACAGCAACATTTTTAAATATAATTTCGAATTCCTTGCAACAGCATGACTCATTCATACTTTACAATGGTCATTGAACAAAACACATTCGTTTTTCTTCATCATACCGGCAATTAAGAATAGCCTTGATGTGAACTTCAAAAATGAACGATGAACTTCAATTTTTTATACTTTAACAGAGATCTTTAACCAGTCCGGGCTTATAACCGCTGTGGATTGAAGCCCATCGCGATTTTCTGCAGGAACGGGAGGGTGAGGGCAGTAGAATGTCCAAGTTCCAAACTATTTGGCGAGAGGACGGTGGCAAGCCAGGCAAGGGAAACCGACATTTTGGGGAATATGCGCCGCTCCAGGACCTCAACTGCCGGGCAGAGAAGGTAGATGAAACGGTAGGACGAGCCCTGATCACTGAGTATACCGGGCTTTGAAATAGGGATAGTTATGGAGTTCTTCCAGGTGGCCGAAATAGAAGCCGAGGAGTCAGAGATGTTGAAAATGTGAGTGATGAATTAATTGGAGGTCGCTTTGGCCAAGGTGCTTGAGATGGATGGTTTTGAGGTCCTCTGGTCGGACCAAATATGGCGCATGAGGCAGCGGGTGGTGGAGCTTTGGGAGAGGAGGCAGTTGGAAGTGAGTAGCTTGTAAAGAGTAAATATCAAGCGCTAGGAAGTGAGGGGGTGTGATTAATTTTGTAGGTTGATTGATGGGGTGGGCGGGAGAGCTTCCCGGTAAGAGAACGAAAAAGATCCCAGTGCCTATATGTAGCGGATCTCGCTACATAACGACTTTTTTATTTAGAAAAATAGTGTAGAGAAAATGCATGCTAGTGCATTACCGCATCCGTTGGCAAGATCACATATACTGCCGACTCTCAGTCACTCACAGCTCACTCTTATTACAGGCTACAGCCGCTGCTCTAGCAGGATCGTGTTGAGCTGACTTATAATAACTTATGCATTATGCTTCNTCACCACGTGCTCCCGAGACCTCGTCATCGCCACGTGCCCTCGTCTCCTAGTTCGCCCCGTTGCCAACATCATCCAACAGGTCACGTGAGCTAAGAATAAAATACTTACAATTGTTAATTTGTTGTCATTGACCAACCAATTCCACCAAGCCGCCCTAGTTTATTTTAATCTGTTCCTATAAGCATGACTCGTGTTACCCTGGACTTGTAAACCCCTGAAAAGAAGTCGA